CTAGAAGCGTACACATTCAAGTTCCAGCAAGCGTGCAACAGATCAAGAACCTCAGAAAGACTACCAAGTTCCACATCCAAAAGAGCTTCCTTCACGCATTCAGTGCTGGTTCCCAATCAGCAATATGTTACCTGGCGGCTACAAAAGGGGAACCACCCTTCGCGGACAAGAAAACACCAAGACAAACCCAAGTTAGCCTTGATCGACTACGACTAGGGTACAAGTGCACTTGGCAGACGATCGGAAATGTCGTCAGGGAATGCACATACTGTACTGTCAGGAGCCAGCGGCCAACCCACTGGAACACTATCTCCTCGACTGAGAAGTCACACAAGGTCTCCGAAACAGAATTCGCAACTTCCAAGAACACAACACCAGCGGCCACTCAAACCAGAAAGGCCCAAACAAACCACATTCACCACCTTCTATGGGTCATCACACAATACCCACCACCCAGAGAGCTCAGGAAGTATCCTCCCCCAGCAAGTGCGGACCCCAGTTCGGGGAGCTTTCCACTCCGAAACTGACCACGTCCAAGAGTGGGGGTTGGTGGTAAGCGTTCACTGACCGAGGGTCCGCTCACACTTGCAAACCTGCAGTATCCTTTCATATCTGCAGGTAGGACAACCTCCAATCCCAAATCCGGTCTGGCTGCTCCAAGAGCTCCAGCCGGAACCACCAAACGGGCCTGTAGTGGACTTCTCCCCTACAACTGCATAGCCGCAGCCACCAGCTGCTACCATCTTCCCTAGCAACCAAACGAGCGGCGTCACCAGATGTCACGGTATCCTAGCAACCGAGCCAAAGACCGGTTACTTCTCGGGTTTTCCCAACATGACTCATAGATGACTCACGGCTGCCGGGTATATAAGCTCTGTCTCTCCATTGAGATTCATTCTGGCCAAACTTTCTGAACAAGCAACACCTCCTCCTCCGCCGCTGCCTGGCGGCCCTCGCTTCTCCTCGCCTGCCTGGCGGTCCTCGCTCCCGCCGGCGAGCATGGCGACCCACCAGCTGTCCTTCTCTGAGCTTCCTCATTAACCAGCTCTCATTCTGGCCCATCTTCCTGAACACGCAACACCTACTCCAGCAAGCTCCTCGCTGTCCAGCATTCATTCAACCAGGAGGCCAGCAACAGGCAACATCTTCTCTAACGAAGCTCCTGCACATCTACCTCCTTCAACACGCTACTCACCGAACGTCTCTACTGAGCAGCTCCTCACCACACAGCATCTCCAGCACCAGACTGTCTATCATATAACTTATATTATACAAGAAAACCACATTAGAGTTTCCATCCATCCTGAGTGCTAGACAACATTATACCACGAACACCTACAGGCCGCCTACAGGCAAAGGCCCGTGTCGGACTACGGGCCAACAATCTCAACAACACAACAACTACAATTTGGAGAAGTGAATGCTGTCGAGTGCAGTACCGGCCAAGCTGGCTTCTTGTTTACAGAAGGCTTAATAATAATTTATTAATATACAGTGTTGTGGGGTATAAGATTGTTTGGTTCACACTCAGGATGGAATGGAGAAAGGAAACTCACAATGTGCTCTCTATATACATGTTGTATTGGATGTACAATGCAGCTTGGTGCTGGGAAGGCAGCATGGTTACAAGCGTGATGTAGAGAGAGCTGGTTGGTGAGGATGCTCAGAGAAGGACAGCTTGTGGGTCGCCATGCTCGCCAGCGGGAGAGAGGACCGCCGGGCAGGCGGAGGAGCGAGGGAAGGCCGCCAGGCAGCGGCGGAGGAGGAGGTGTTGCTGGCTGCGGCTGTAGGTAGAGAGCTATCACCACGAGGTCAGGTCTTAAATAGCGGGGGTAGGCGTGGCTTAGCAGTTGACCCCCGCTCCGTGATGTATGGCGGCGCTGGTTGACCTAGACCACGAGGCATACACTGGGGAATTGGTGGGGTCGGCTAGGCAGCGACAAACAGCGTTTGTAGGGGAGAATTCCACTACAATACTCCCCCTTCCCTCCAGGCTGTGTAGGAGACTTGTTGTCTGCAGGGTTGCATAGCACATGTGAGGCAGAACGGGCGGTGCATGCCTCATGTGAGACAACGGCGATGGCGTGGATGAGCCGGTCGCTGGGGACAACTGTCTAGATACACAATATCTGTGGGAGTAGAGAGGGAGAATAAGGGTGTGTGGAGGCGATGAATGTTGTGCTTCCCTCACGGCAGGTACGAGTCGTCAGATGCGCCTGCTGGGGTGTGTGGGCCTGGGTCAGGAGCAGGGGCTGCGTCAGCAGAAGCGGATGAGGGCTCGTGACAGCAGCTGGGTCCACGACAGCAGCAGGGTGCAGGACATTAGCAGGGAGTACCTGGGGGAGAAAAGAGGGGTGTGTGTGTCCGCACTCAGGAACAGAGGCCGCATCAAGGGCGGCAGGGGTTACTGCTGGGCCGGGGTCGGCGTCTGAGGCAGGACGGGTGTGCTGGGGTCGGTAGGACGTGGTGCTTGGGGCAGGAAGAGGAGCTGGTGTCTGCTTAGAGTAGCAGAGCTGCTCTAGGGTGTCTAACCTGCGGTGTAGAGACAGTAGCTGTAGAGCCGATGAGAGCTGCTTCTGGGTGGATAAGCCAGTCTTCCATGTTGCTTGAAGACTGGGAGCGTGATCAGTTTCTCCTCCATCCTGTGTGAGTGCGAATCTCCGGGAGTCACCATTTGTGGGGTATGAGATTGTTTGGTTCACACTCAGGATGGAATGGAGAAAGGAAACTCACAATGTGCTCTCTATATACATGTTGTATTGGATGTACAATGCAGCTTGGTGCTGGGAAGGCAGCATGGTTACAAGCGTGATGTAGAGAGAGCTGGTTGGTGAGGACGCTCAGAGAAGGACAGCTTGTGGGTCGCCATGCTCGCCAGCGGGAGAGAGGACCGCCAGGCAGGCAGAGGAGGTGTTGCTGGCTGCGGCTGTAGGTAGAAAGAGCGACAGATCACCACGAGGTCAGGTCTTAAATAGCGGGGGTAGGCGTGGCTTAGCAGTTGACCCCCGCTCCGTGGTGTATGGCGGCGCTGGTTGACCTAGACCACGAGGCATACACTGGGGAATTGGTGGGGTCGGCTAGGCAGCGACAAACAGCGTTTGTAGGGGAGAATTCCACTACAATACTCCCCCTTCCCTCCAGGCTGTGTAGGAGACTTGTTGTCTGCAGGGTTGCATAGCACATGTGAGGCAGAACGGGCGGTGCGTGCCTCATGTGAGACAACGGCGATGGCGTGGATGAGCCGGTCGCTGGGGACAACTGTCTAGATACACAATATCTGTGGGAGTAGAGAGGGAGAATAAGGGTGTGTGGAGGCGATGAATGTTGTGCTTCCCTCACGGCAGGTACCGAGTCGTCAGATGCGCCTGCTGGGGTGTGTGGGCCTGGGTCAGGAGCAGGGGCTGCGTCAGCAGAAGCGGATGAGGGCTCGTGACAGCAGCTGGGTCCACGACAGCAGCAGGGTGCAGGACATTAGCAGGGAGTACCTGGGGGAGAAAAGAGGGGTGTGTGTGTCCGCACTCAGGAACAGAGGCCGCATCAAGGGCGGCAGGGGTTACTGCTGGGCCGGGGTCGGCGTCTGAGGCAGGACGGGTGTGCTGGGGTCGGTAGGACGTGGTGCTTGGGGCAGGAAGAGGAGCTGGTGTCTGCTTAGAGTAGCAGAGCTGCTCTAGGGTGTCTAACCTGCGGTGTAGAGACAGTAGCTGTAGAGCCGATGAGAGCTGCTTCTGGGTGGATAAGCCAGTCTTCCATGTTGCTTGAAGACTGGGAGCGTGATCAGTTTCTCCTCCATCCTGTGTGAGTGCGAATCTCCGGGAGTCACCATTTGTGGGGTATGAGATGTTTGGTTCACACTCAGGATGGAATGGAGAAAGGAAACTCACAATGTGCTCTCTATATACATGTTGTATTGGATGTACAATGCAGCTTGGTGCTGGGAAGGCAGCATGGTTACAAGCGTGATGTAGAGAGAGCTGGTTGGTGAGGACGCTCAGAGAAGGACAGCTTGTGGGTCGCCATGCTCGCCAGCGGGAGAGAGGACCGCCAGGCAGGCGGAGGAGCGAGGGCCGCCAGGCAGCGGCAGAGGAGGAGGTGTTGCTGGCTGCGGCTGTAGGTAGAAAGAGAGAGATCACCACGAGGTCAGGTCTTAAATAGCGGGGGTAGGCGTGGCTTAGCAGTTGACCCCCGCTCCGTGATGTATGGCGGCGCTGGTTGACCTAGACCACGAGGCATACACTGGGGAATTGGTGGGGTCGGCTAGGCAGCGACAAACAGCGTTTGTAGGGGAGAATTCCACTACAGTGTTCTCTGTGTCAGTCTCTAACGGGCAATCATTCCTATAGGACCTACTTTTTTCGCTGTACAGGGTGTCTTCTTTTTTAGCAATATAATTAATGAATTTAGAGTAACTAAGCCTTTTCAGTCCATCATATCATAATCCGGTGATCCGCCATGAATTTAAATTCCAATTTTTTTTCATTTTATCGAAGGGATTTTGTTGAGCAACAAGTACTGTACTGTACTGTGGTGTGTTGCGTCAGACGGCCGGTTATTAGGTTAGTCCTGAATTAATCATATCCGATCTCTCACATCTAAGTGATAACAAAAGAAACGCAGCGCTTTATGGTTATAACCCTGTCTTTCTTTAATCAATAATCCAAGCGGTTATTACACAGATTTGTTGAATTAAATTCGTAGTAAAGTAAATTATCTGGGTTTAAAGGGCACGAACTGCCTTCCATCTTGTGATATATAAATTAATTCAGTTGAATAACAATACATCAAAGTATCACAACCCTTTGTTCTGAGAAAAACATTTAAAACAATAAATGATACATAGTAAAAATTGCTTACATCTCTTTAATAAGCAGGTTTATGATGCACAAGACATTATGTTAACGTGAGTTGGCAACGTCTCATCAGCTGATTTGTAAGGTGTTGCCAGGTTCTCCCGCCAGATGGCACTACTGTAAACAACAGGCCCAGCTAGAGTGTAACACGCGTGTTCATTGGTCAAGATGCCCAGGACATTCAATGATTTGTTGATTCTAGCCAATCAGAGTCGTCCTGTCATTCGGCGTGTTTACAACTGGAAATACACCATGGTACATGACGGAAATAAAGATGAAGCTGAAAAATGCTTCAATTTAGCCCAAAAATACTTCCAGGAGGGCAACAGAGATAAGGCTATCAGGTTCACCCAGAAGGCGGAGAGACTCTACCCCTCACACAGGTCTCAAGGTAAGGGAGACGCTCTTATATATGGCTTCCTGCCCAACCCGGGCCGACTATTTCATCATAAGTTAGGCTGAATCACGTATCTCGCCCTCATATACATCAAACTATATTTCTGGTGTAATTAATTTAGCTCGAAAGTAAGTGCTTAGGTGAGAGATGCCATTATACCCAATAGATCCATGACAAGTGACAGCCATTCTCAACCTGGCAACTTTTACCTCATCTGTCAAGGTTGGCCAGTAAAATGATTATTATCTCGTTGTCGTTAAACTAGAAACAGTACCCACTCTTAATAAAAAAATTCTTATGCAACTTTGCACTAGTGTTCTTACTCCTGCTTACATTGAAAAACAATAGACACTTAAAATATAAACATTCCTATAAGCAAAAATATGAATTTAAGTTAACGTTGGAGGAGACAGTTAGCACGAGAAGGTCTTCATGGAGTTGCACCAAATTTTCAGGAGATGATATTAGGATGATACTGAGGAGACAGCACCATAAATAACTGATGGAATTAATCCAAAATTTCTGGAGGTTCTACAGTATATTGAACACAAAATTGGAAGCGGGAACCTGACCTAACCTACCTTGTCTAACTTCCTAACCTGTGCATTGTCATTTGGGTTTTCTTACTTACTATCATCCAAACAACATCAAGAAAGAATGAACGGTATTTTTTTACAAGTAGACAACCAACGAACGGTTAGGTTAGGTTAAGTGTTTTTATCCCCTTTATTTCATGCCCTGCCCACTAACAAGTAATTTATGATTGAAGGATAGACTAAAAATAAAATAAGTTGCTACAATGTTATCACCTCGATTTTATTCCTTAGTATTCTGCGATGTTGTTGTTTCACTTTTATGGTAAAGGTGGAGGTGACGGTTCGCGCCAGACAGACTTTATGGAATTGCATCAAATTTTCAGATGTAGTATTTTTCTTTTTTTCTCATTGTAGCCTGTCCTTCGATCATAAATTAGTTGTTAGTGGGCAGGGAAGAGGGGAATAAAGGGGGTAAAAACACAGTGAACACTGATCATATGACAGTAATTTGACGTCTCTATGTCCTTTGTAGACGATGAAATAAAATAGTAACCGTAATTATGGCGTCATTGGATCTCCCATGGTGACCATGGGAGTGTCTGCGGTCATTGTTTACATGTCAACAAACAAACAACGATCTCATCGGGTGTGTATACGATTTACATTGGATTGAATTCGTTCGTTTATTCTAGAGATGTTGTTTGGATGATATTAAGGTTAATATTGACGACTGACCTGCAGACGAGTTATTTGTATTACTTTTTATTTTCTTACTTTATTTTCATCAGTGAGTTCTGATATGATAATCATTTCTTGTGCAAATGTTTCGTTTGGTAGATAATTAGGTGCCTAGGGGCGCACTACTTTGTCTTCTTGACAATAATGCGGTGGTGATGACTCATCCCAGGATGTAAACAGCCAATCATATTGGCATATTTCAAAACAATCCGCCACCTGGGCTTGATCAACGTCTATGCTCAGTGTATGCTTAAGAACTATTTGGTACGGATTGCTGCTCTCACATCCACAAAAAATGTAAAATTACTCCATATCATAGTAAGTTCTTTCTGTTTAATATACCTGGGGGAAGAGCAGATTAGGGAAGGTTCGTTAGGTTGGTGAGGCCTTCTAACGATGCTACTGCTGCATGTTTTTTTTTATATCAACCAAGGTTAGGTTTAATTTAGAAATAACCACGTTTTAACACATTTGCACAAACTATGACAGTGTCCACTATAAAACACAGTGAAATTGTGGCATTTTTATAATCGTTTTCTGTGAAAAAATTGGCCATGGGTCACTCGTCAATAATTACCAGTCTGGTTCTAATTGATTCTATGCATTGTTGTTTAGAATTTCTTACTTAGTATCATCCAAACAACATCTGAAAATTTGGCACAGTTCCATAAAGCCCTTCTTTTTCTAACCTCTCCTTTACCATTACCAAATTTAAACCCATATTTGTAATATTTAAGGACAATGGTTGAGGTTAACCAAGGATCTAACCAAATACTTCATCTTCATAAAACGTAATTCTTACCTCAAGAATAAAATAAATTGGGTGGAGGAATAGCACTTTTCCTATTCAGGTTTCAACCCTAGTTTTTCTTGTAAGCAAAGGCGTTGCCACCTGCCTGCCCCTCCCCCATAAAATAAGACTGGGGGGGCTTAAAAGATGGAATTTGTTGTCAAAAGACCGAAAACTTGCATAGTTTTGCACTCTGCATTTAAACTTCCCGCTGTGCATCAATTTGTGTGCGTGCATCTCCAGGTCTTTCATTACTCACAAACTCAAGGAAAATTATGTATCAAGTTAAATAATACGATAAAGTTTTACTCATTTATTTTGCAAATGTTTTTATATAGAATAACAAAGACCACGTGACGCAACAATGACTCTCGACTGTCTGGCCCGGCTGACTGAACATAAGCAATGCTATTTTTTTAGTTTGCTTTCAAAAACTTATATTTTTTTCGTTTTCTACCTGCTTACATATATTTGATTTATTTATACTGATTTATATGACATCTCAAGAAAATATAACAAATTATTTATGTCCTGTAAACATGTAATAATAAAATAACATGATAATGGCAACACCTCTCGCGTCTACACATCTCACCACACACTACCTTACCTCATCAAAACATTACCATATTTTTTGTAAGTTAGATACAAAATAAATATGTCGCAATGCAAAGGAACGTGAATAAAAGTTGTTGTGACCTCTTAGCTACGTAATGTGGCATGTTAATGTCTCTGTGCCAAGGAAACGGTGAATAAGAAATAAATATTTGGGAGCTCTGCCCCCTCACCCCGGCAACCCACTCAGGCGCCTGGAACATTTGCCACTAGTCCCGTTTTCACTTATTTAGGCTGTTAATTTGTCACTGGTGAGCAAGGGAGATTCGTAAATACAGCGGCATTTTAAAACGGTGGTGACGTCATAGTGACAATGCCATTTTGCTGTTTTAAAATGGCATCTACACTTAATAGGTCAATAGTAACACTATTCCATATCTCACTCACTAACAAACAAAAGCAGCAGCAGCATTATAAAATTATCTAAAAATTATGATACATTCTTCTTCTTGTTAATTATAACAATACAGAACTGTACCCCAAAATAGAACACTTAATATTGATAATACAGTAATGGGATATCCAATTTTTTCTATAAATTTAGGTACAGTAGAATCTCATGTTTCACGACTAATTGGTACCGGCTTTATATACACTCATACTGTAGAATAACTTACCTTGATGGAGTCAGTGAAATGCTTGACAGGGCTAGTTGATGGATGCCGAGGCAGGGAGGGCTGATTACTGCTTCCTCCCTACTCCTTCCTCAACTCCTCTAATCTCAGCATCAAATCCCTCAAAGTCTTGAGGCAGCTCTTCCACCAGTAAGTCACCCAACACTTCAATATCATCATCGGTGGTGCCATCATCTCCTAAAGTGATGTTTGCCAAGGCATTAACAGGCTGGGCTTTGTTCAGGTACCGAGTAATAAGGGCCTGCTGACGAGCATTAACACGGGACATGTACAAGGCCATATATTCCTCCATACCTTTCTCAAGGGCAGAGCGCATAAGGTACCGAGGATGAGGCCTGGTATCGTATTCTTCTAGCTGTTCTCAGAGACTTGCAGTGTTTGTGAGCAACTCAGTCAGCTGCCGTGTTGTAGGTTCACCGGGCTTAACGTCATCCTCTTGTGTTGGTTGCTGTTCTTCCTGTTCTTCATCCTCCTCCAACATTTCTTGAATTGTCGGTTGCTGCTGATGTTGACCAACGATTTCTTGCAAATCTTCAACCTGAACATCCCAGTGCTGGGACTGAGTGCGCTGCCTCCACTGTGTCCATAAGTGTTGCCGCCACGGACTGTCTCTTCGCTTGCCTCGGTCTACTCTGCCCCACTTATCTCGGAGTTAGTGAACAGAGGCTTCCATGCGTGTAGTACTGTTGCAACATTAATCTTACGACATGCCTCAACAATTCTGTCCACTGCATTTTTAATATTATATTTCTTCCAAAATTCACAAACTGATAACACCTCACAGTTGTAGGTGCCTGTGAGGCGCTAGGAGTCGGGTCATCTACCATCTCCTCCTCCTGGTTAGCTGGTGCTGGTCACTGTCAGGGAGCTCTGCCTCGATCGACTAATGAGTCTGTCTGTTGACAAAAGTCAACAGACTGCAGCGATGTGGTGTTAGGAGGGAGGAAGATAACTTGTACATTAGGGTGGCCTTCAATTAGAAACATGGTGTCTCCCGGAGCATCATCCATCACCAGGATCACTTTGAAGTCAATATTCTTCCTCCGGCATTACTGTTGGGCGTCAGGAACAAAGTGCTTGTCAAACCAATCGGTGCATAAAGACGTAACCCAAGCTTTCTTATTAGATGTCCAATAAACATTGAGCTTCGACATATTGCCATGATGGTAGGCTCTGGAATGGGCAGCACGGTTAACAACCAGGGGTTTCATCAAGGAATCTCCACTTGCATTAGCTGTAAATAAAACTGTAATCCTGTCCATTGAAGTCTTTACACCCCTTGTCTGTTTTTCATCCTTGGCAATGAAAGTGGTCTCAGGTGAGTGCTTCCAGAAAATGCCAGTTTCGTCACAATTGAAGATCTGGTCTCGGCAATAACCACTCTCTTTCACAAGAGCTTGAAAGACAGGTTGATATTTTTCTGCTGCTATGACATCATCCGATGACGTATCATAACGCTTCTTAAGGGCAGCCAACCAACCAACAGAAGCATTGAATGGCGGTGGAGAGTTAACTCGTTTCTTCTGTGCAACTGCAGCATAATAAACACGTGCTTGATGCCTTATCTGTGGCCCAGACAGGTCGCCCTGCTCACAGTTTCTTCTTTCCATCCACTTGTGAAGGTAATGTTCTCTGATAACAAGCAGTAGGTTTCGTTGTGCAGTATCGGATAATGTCCTG